TGGTTATAGGACGAGCATGTGTTATAGTCATGACATGCAAATGACGGAAACGATCATTAGAAGAGGGCACCTGTGGTCTGGTTAGCTCTACTGTAGAAGGTGTCTAAGGAGAAGACGGAGAGGGATTTATACTGCAAATAAGCATGCATTGATGACGCAGTATTTCTCAAGAGAGTGCCTCCTATTGTCTGTAGCATTTCCTTCTAAACCACTATCCTCTTTCTGAAAATTTTGTTCTTAGCACTTTCTGGAGCTTACCAGGGGGTTTCAACCAGAGAAATTTTTCAGACAAAACCCAAGTTTCTCCTACATTAAAGGGTTAATGAAAATGTCAAGGAGATGCTGCTCTATTATTGATATTGATAATATATTGATATTATTAATAGCCATGCTATTGGGAATAAAGCAAAGTTAGTGTGCTTAGGTAATGAGTATTACGTCATGACTGCCACTGAACAGCAGTAGTGGCATGCTATCAATTCCGACTCACAGTGTCCTGGTGTACAACACTATCCTCACAATTGTTGCTATGTTGGAATCCATAGTCGCAGCCACGGTGTCAATCCATTGCATTGGTTTTCCTCTGACCCACAACCAAGTAGGATGTCCTTCTCTAGGGACTGATCCTGCCTGAAAATCTGTCCAGATAACTTGAAATGACATCATTCCATCCTCTCTTCCAAGCAGCACACTAGTTATACTTCTTCATCCTTCTGGCAGTCCCTGGTATAGTCAATATTCTTCACCAACACCATGATTCAAATGCATCAGGTATTTTTCAGTGTTCCTTATTCATATGCACTGAGCTGCTAACCACAAGATCAGCAGTTCCAAACCACCAGCTGCTCTGTGGGAGAATTAAGACTTTCTACTCCCGAAAGTGGTTTCAGAAACCCGCAGAGGCAGCTCTATCCTGTCCTGTAGGGTTGCTATGAGTTAGAATTGAGTTGATGGGAGTGAGCTTGGTATTTTCATTTCATTGTCTAGTTTTCACATGCATGTGAGGCAATTAAAAATTCCATGACTTTGGTCAGGTGGTCAAAATGACTTAGTTGCTTTTTAGCACTTTAAAGAAGTCTTTTCCAGCAGACTTGCCCAATGCAATGCATCATTTGATTTCTTGACTGGTGCTTCTATGCATGTTGATCACGGATCCAAGTGAAATGAAATTCTTCACTGCTTCAGTCTTTCCTCCCCTGATGGTGAAGTTATTTGGTAGTCCATATTAAAAGCTATAGTCTTTGATCTTTATCAGTTAAGTGCTTTAACTCCTTCACGTTCAGTGAGCAAGGTTGTGTCATCTGCATATCTCAGGTTGTTAATTGAGTTTTTCGTACAGACCAATTTCTTGGATTATATGTTTAGGGCTATAACTCTGACAGGCACCTTTCCTGGTTTGAAATCACAAAACATCCCATTTTTTCTGTTCGATCAACTGCCTCTTGGTCTCTGTTCAAGCTTTACACGAGTACACTAAATGTTCTGGAATTCCCATTCTTCACAATGTTATCCCCAATTTGTTATGGTCTAACAGTGGAGTGCCTTTGAGCAGTCAATAACACACAGGTAAACGTCTTTGTTCTAACTTTGTTTTCAGTTGAGCTCCATCTCATATCAGACTTGATAATTGCTTATTCTATGTCCTCTTCTAAATATGGCTTGGATTTCTAGCAGTTCCTTGTCAATGTACTGCTGCAACTGTTTTTGAAAGATCTTTAGTAAAAGAAATCGTGGACAGGAGTGCGTTTAATATTATGCTGAGTTGAGCTAACTAGCAAGACAAAGGACAATACTTATTACTAGTGGAGGGAAACAGGATCAAGGAGGAAGGTCTATGGTGGAAGTTATGTAAATCTCCCCCAAATAAGAATATAAATTGTTCAGGTGGAACCAAGCCTTGGCAGAGAGTGACTTGATGATTTATATGTGTATATGCAACCCACAGCAATCAGGGTTAGGACAGCATGTGGTTGCTCTGCTGCGGGTGAAGCCTCAAGGAACAGTTTTGGAGGAGTTTGTAGACAGAGAAGGAGGTCATGAGGTGGTGGTGTTGAAAGGGAAGTGATGGTCTCTGTGTGCTTAGGATTTCTTCTCATTATTGCCTCCATTACTGATTTGGTTATAATCCGTTTAATAAATATTCGTGTGCTTCAGGTTGGCTCAGCTTGTTCTACCTGGTGGCTACTGCTGCATGGAAGGAGACCACAGCACTGGGAAACCGTAGTATCCACTACCCTTCAAGCTACCAGGAGAATAATCTGGGGACAATTTTGTCTTGTGGATCAGAGAGAAAATGTTCAACCTGGTCTCTCTCTCTCTCTCTCTCTCTCTCTCTCTCTCTCTCTCACACACACACACACACACACACACACACACACACACTTTAGACAACAGAAATTTACTATCTCACAGTTCCAGAAGTTTGTAGTTTGAATGCAGGGTGTTGGTGCCCTCCAAAGTCTTGAACCTGTGATCTTCTCTTCAGTTTGGTACATTATTTATTCATGAAATGCTAATGTTTAGTTCTGGATTTTGAGACAAAAATATTTTCCTTGGGGAAGGGAGGGGATAAAATGAGGAGCTGATACCAAGGGCTCAAGTAGAAAGAAAATGTTTTGAGAATGATGATGACAACAAATGTACAAATGTGCTTGACACAATGGATGTATGGATGGATTGTGATGAGTTGTACGAGCCCCCAATAAAATGATTTATTAGAAAAAAAATATTTTCTTGTCTCTCACCGCTTCTCCCCAGGTGCTCCTTGGCATGTAGATACATCTTCACACGTCCTCCTCTCTTTGTGTCTTTTCTCCTCTTTTATAATGTTATTACCCAGATGGGATTAGGACCCACCCTCTTCCAATATGATCTGATATTAACTAACAACATCTTCAAAGACCCTATATCCAAACAAGATCACGTTCACACCTCTCAAGTGTTAGGCCCTCACCATATATTTCTTGGAGACACAATTCAATTCTTAACAGTGGCTTTTCTCACTTCTCATCCTCGTTCCCCATTCCTTGTGTTCTGAGTTCAGAGATCATCTTCCAGACAAACCATCGGCACCCAAGATCTTGGTGTAGAGTCTTATTTTGGGGGGAATTCTAACTAGGGTAGAAGGAGTCTTCTTTAAAATGCAAGTCAGTGTGTGTGTCCACTTACTTGGTGGAATCTAATGTGCTTGCATCATTCTGGTGTAAATACAGGAAAATACGGGGTTTGGCTTTCCAGCTTCTCCGGTCGTTAGAAGGGTGACATAGGTTGGAGGCTGTGAGCCAATCCAATGTCCCCACTTAAAAACAACAGCAACGCCCACAAAAACCTTTTCATTGTAGTTTGGGTGAAAGTTTACAAAGTAAATTAGTTTTTTCATTCAAAAAATGTGTACACATTTTGCTTTGGCATTGACTATAACCCCTATACTGTAACAGCATTCTTCTCACTCATTTTCTCCACTGCCTGTCTCCATTCACCCTTCTTCCTTGACCCTTCTGACCGCCAGAGCCTTGCTTCCTGGCAAACGCTGACCTTTGGGTCTGGTGTGGCTGTTCTGAGCAGTATGTTCCTCTCTGGTGTTGTTGTTCACTTGCTAGGTCTGCTGACTTATTGCTTGACTGAAAGTTGACTCTCAGGTTTTGAAGGGTGTCAAGGGCCATCAACTTAGATTCGCTTGTGAAAGTATTGACTACTTACAAGCAATTTCACAACTAAAGAAAAACCTCGTTGGATTCCCTTGGCCTTTAAGCCTTTAATCATACACTTCTATGATATACTAACAAAAAGCATAATTTTAATATCAGGAAAAGAGGTTTTGTGACTGGGGCCCTTAAAAATCTTATATTACAATTCAGCCATCACCAGGCAAGAGATGGATCCTTCCTAAGGCAAGCAGTCATGTCCAAATAACCAGTGTTTTAATTCTACATATTCACATTATTTATAGTAGTACTGGGACAGTAAAGTCAAATTGCTACAACAACTTAAATAAGAAAGTTCTTCTATTTTACCTTTTTTCATTGATTCTTTTTCCAATCCTTCCTTATATGTGAACAAGAGTTCATCAACTTCATTCAGATCCAGGAAGCCTGAGCTATCGCAGTCCCACTTCTGAAAGAGGGCTTCTAGTAGCAGTCCCTTTCGAACCCTTGAAGCCTTTTGCCTACTCTAGGATAAAAACAGGATAACAGGCGCGAATGACAGTTTTCACCGTGGCAATGGGCATCCTGTGTCTGCACTCAAGAAAAGCACAGGGACTTTTTACAAAAGCAGCTTGGCTTTGGAGTTCAAGTGATATGAATAGAACCATGTGGGAAACGAATTTTAATTTCCTAAATACCCTTTCCCAATTTTATTTCTCAACAGCAACAAAGCTAACCCAGACATCCACTTTATTGGCCTAAAACGCATAGAGATAAGACGAGCCTTCAGAACCTTTGATTTACTCCTTTGCACTCTACTTCCCAGTTGCTCAGGAATGTGACAATAGCCTGGCTTCTTGGTGTGATATGCTTTGTGGTGGAAGGAGAATGGCCTTGCTCAAACAATGAACAATGTCTCTATTTTTTTAAACATATTTTTATATTTCACATTGACTTAATTTAAAATTTATTTTATTTCCCTTTTAGATTTATTCCTAGTTAATCCTGACAGTTAGGTAGTAATCGAGTGAGTATCTAGATAGAGTTGATTGCAAAAATAAAGGAAATAGATCCCATCAGGCTAAACAAGCAGTATTATGAGGGTAAACAGGATACCAGGTCTGAATTAGGTTGAGAAGAGGCATAAGGTTGATGAGATTACCAAATATGTTTGGTGAATCTAATTTATATATTTAATACAGAAGTTCATAAATGGCTTGCTTCATTTGTCTATCTCTCAAGTAAGTAGCACATTCTTAGGGAATGTCTACTACCTGGGTACACATGAATACAAATGTGTATAATTCAGCCATAATCATACTTCTAGGTCCATGCCCTTGAAAATGCACTCACAAAGCAGACAGTATATGCATGCTTACATCTTTGCATATGTACATGTCTGCTCTGCAAGCTGCCAGAGAGGAAAAACAGAACTATTCCATCAGTCATCTCCTGCAAAGAGAAATCATATTATTTTTAAAAGGATACGTTTTCTTGGGCCATTTGACAGTAAAACAAAACGAAATATTTAATAACGATGCTTGCTGAATTAAAATGTTATATTTGGTCGTAAGGTTTTTAAGAAGAGCCACATTGTGCACAACTAACATTGCGAGATTTACTTTATATGAGTGACGTGGATAAATAAGGTTACCCACCTGTTCTAAGGCACTGATTTTCTCTTCCTTCGTTTCAACATAGTGCTGCTTTAAAAACGAGGCGAGGTTCTCACTGACATTCAGGGAGGTCTCTTCACCAACAAACGTCTCTAGGAGTTGCATGAACTGGAGCAGACGGAGGGAAGCACCATCAAAGGCAAACCTGCCATTTCCTTCCTTCATCTCCTGAATATTTCTGATAATTGGGTGTAGCTCTGTCAAGCATGAAACATACATCAAGCAGTCAAGCGAAAAAACTCTCTCAAAGTTTAGGGAGATTATCTGTGAGTAGTCTCCCTAAATTGTAGCCATCATTGGCTTAATTTTGCTCATTGGGAATTCGTACTTCCTTCAGGATTGTCCTCCATTTTCCTTTCGGAAAACATCTTCCACCTCTCAAGTGGTACCCAGTCTGTCCAACTTTTGTGCCAATGAGGTTTAAGTGAGATAGGTCTAAACACCCTAAGGTAGGACGGAGCAGGTGACCTTTACCCCAAGGGTATGGAATTGGTGGTTGATGTACTTTAGCTCAGATCTCTTCTGGTTTTGAGGGGGTCTACTGGAAGCTGGTCTATGACTACCATATATTTACTATTTTAATGCTCTGTTTGCCTTTCCATGACATGTATTGGTTTGGCAGGCATATTTCTGCCTTTGTGAATGAGTGTTATTGAAAGTTTTGCCCTATCCGCAACCCTCATTGTTCATGTAAATGTGCCCAGTCATTTAGGGTTTTAATCTGTACAAGTTAACAATTCATGTATTTCAGTATGAAAAGCCAGCATATATTTTTATAATTTCCTTTTCTCAACAGTATTTTAAATCCTATATTGCTGGCTAAATTAATGATACTATCAATAGAATCACCTTTTGCTTCAAGGAAATGATTTATAATGTTCTTTATCATAAACTGCTAATGATGTCTCTAAAGTGAACCAGAGACATATATAAAATGTAAGTATATAAGTGATTGGGGACTCAAACATAATTGTAGCCCTAATCTAAGAACAATTCGTTCTTATTACATGGCCCTACTGGACACTTATCCTCATGAAGAGATCACTGAAGATATGAGTGCTACATTAAAGTGTGGTGAAGAAATCAGGTGGCACCTGGCTATCAGAAAGAATAATGCATGGGGTCTTAAAGGCTTGTCTTCAAACAAGCAGACATCTAAGTGAGGCTTCAACTAAGTTCAAATGGAAGAAGCGCATCAGCCTGTGTGATCCAAGTACTGTAAATAATAAAATCCAAAACTGGAGGAGGGAATGGGGTCAGAGCTTAAGTTCTGGACCCTCAGTTTGCAGTAGGCTGTGATGACAGTGCAGGCCTCATATCATTTGCAGGGTCTGCACACAGATTACGGTTCTGGTGACCCCCCTCTGACCATAATATAGGGATGTAAATAGCTTTGTTATCAGAAAGAAAGTTTCATAGGTTGATTATGGCAGATATAGTTAGGTCAACATGCAACACATTATTTGATCTTCCTTTTGACCGATTTTAAAGTTGTTTCAATTTTTTATATGTTATGCTTTCTTTCTTATTGAGATTTTTCTCTGTTTTGATTGTCATTGTTGGTGGTGTTTTTGTTTGTTTTTGTTTTGTATGATTTTCTGTACATGAAATCCAGGATAGGTAAAACCGTAGAGACAGTAACTGGATTAATAATTACCTAGGAGAATGGCAGGAGAGTTTGGGGGGGAAGGAAGAGCTAATAACGAGTCTGAGAATGAAGAAAATGTTCTTATATTCATTGTGATGATTGCATAACTCATCTTAATATGATCAAGCTATTAAATTGTATGATATGTGAATTATATTCCAATAAATCTATTAAAATAACAAAATTTTAAGGGTGTGTTAGTCTGGGTAGACTAGAGAAACAAATTCTTAGACACACATATGTATATAAGGAAGAGGTTTATATACAAGAGCAATTGTACATTAAGAAAGCATCCCAACCCAGTCCAGTTTAAGTCCCTAAGTCCGATCATAGCCCATATGTCTGATACCAATCCATAAAGTCCTCTTCAGACTCATGAAACACATGCAATGAAGCCAAATGCAGGACGATCACAAGCCAGTGGGTAGAAAGTCTTTGGGTCCAGTGGTGTTGTAAGCATCTCAGTGCTGGCAGGGGTCTCTCTGTGGCTTCTCCAGCTTCAGAGGTCTTGTTGCATCCATGTGGCTTGTCTTCTGCAATGTCTTCCAGGGAGTAGCAGAGAGAGAAGTGTCTTCCGCCTCCAAGGAGAAAGTACCAGATTTCCCAGAATTCTCAGGAGATCTCCAGATTGACAGCCTACACTCCACCCCTACACTCTTAATCCTTAAATTGACACCAGATTAGGTGACTACCACAAAGAGAAAAAAATGAACCCTCATGCAATTTTTAAAAAAATTGTCAAAGTATAAAACAAAAGAAAAGAATATGAATTAGCAGGAAACAAGAACTTGACCAAGAAGTTTCACCAAAATAGTTCGAGAACAGAAAATTTGTTATTTGTTATAAGTACAAATTTTGCAGATAAAAGGAAAATAATCCCTTTTTTTCATTAGACAAACTTTATTGCATCAAAGCATAACAGACAAGTCTTAAGGAATCATCTAGAGACTGTGGCTGGACACCGCTTAGATCAGCGGTTCTCTACCGGTGGGTCATGACCCCTTTGGGGTTCAAACGTCTCTTTCACCGTGGTCGCCCCAATTCATCACAGTAGCAAAATGACAGTGATGAAGTAGCAACGAAAAGACTGTTATGGTTGGGGGCTCACCAACACATGAGGAACTGTCTGAAAGGGTCTCGGCATAAGGAAGGTGGAGAACCAGTCTTAGATCTTACTCATCAGCGTGCTGAACTGTTCCTTTTTCAGACACAGATACCATCCAAAATTTTTTTGATATCCTTGTTTTTAATTGTTGTGGCTTGCTGAATTAAAGCAGCTGAAATTGATACAAGCTCAATGTTGTTTCCTTTAAGAATTAACTCATCATTCTGGCCTCGAGAAACCGAACAAGCAACACCTGTCCTCATGAGAACCCTTCCCAATGTATTTTTCACTCAAGAAGTTACGGATTTCATCAAGAGGGCCATTCTCCTGAATAACCACATTGATGGGAAGTGGACATATACAGACCTCAGGGTAACCCCTTTGACCCTGTTCTGTGCATGACTGCAGATATTGCTGATGGGAGCCAGTTCTTTTGTATTTGCCCCACCATGTGTCAACCTGAAGCCTCTCTTATTTTTTCTTCCAAGGAGACTGAGTTCTACTTTGATGTGATTGAAGCCCCTTCACAGGGTTCGTCTAGGCCCCTTCACCATGACTGTGCACCCCTTCAGGGAAATGCCAACATTCTCTGGAATGTCAACAGTCAGTTGCTGAGAATGGTCTTCATTCTCACAGCAGATGTGGCAAAGCAGGGAGATAATCTTGATCGAACTAGTTATACTAATTACTGATATGAAAGGCAAAATGCTAAAATAGCATTCTAGTAACATGTGAGTTCTAATTGGAACCCAAATCCACTGCCATTAAATGGATTCCAATGCATAATGACCCCATATAAGGTTTTCAAGGCTGTAAATCTTTATGGGAGCAGATAGCTCCCAGGTACTCCTGCAGAACAGCTGGTGGGTTTGAACCACCAACCTTGTGGCTAGCCACCCAATGCTTAGCCAACAGCACTACCAGGGCTCCTCTTGTTAGAATAATAGTGGTTAAATATCTAGTTGACCTGGGATCTAAAAGATACTTGTTGCTCCATTGAGTAGATCTTTCTTTGTAAACCTTTAAAAAACAAGGCTGATTCTCATCTGTCTTATATCTTTGGATGTGGAACTACCAGAGTGAGAAATAGCTTGAATGATATTTTTGAGTTTTAAGTTCTAAATGTGCAGGACCAGGTTCCAAAGTAGTCTTAGAGCCATGTAATGGTAAAAAAAAAGAAGCCTGGTGGTGTGGTGGATAGGCACTCTGCTCTTAACATAAAGGAGAACGATGTGGCAGTATGCATCCATAAAGATTTATAGTCTTGGAAACACTACAGAGCACTGCATTGTAAACAAATCCACAGAAGTAGATTTGGTTTGCGAATAAAGAAAAAAGGGTATTCCTACTGCCTTAAGTTTACAAATAGAAAAGCTTTCAACAGCACATCACCCCAACCCAAAACATTAATCCCCTCCAGCCACAGTGGAGGGATGTGAATAGCCTTGCTATCAGACAATGAGCATTGTAAAGTCTACTATGGTAGTTATCATTAGGTTAAAATGTAATATCTTGTTATTTGATCTCCCTTGTGACCCAGTTAAGTTGTTTCAGTTTAAAAAAAAAGAGAGAGAGAAATAACATGGATTAAACTTCCAGTTCACCACTTGTCTGTTTGTCGTACTGTGGTGGTTTGTGTGTTGTTGTGATGCTAGAAGCTATCTCAATGGTATTTCAAATGCCAGCAGGGTCACCAAAGTGAACAGGTTTCAGAAGAGCTTCCAGGCGAAGAAGAGACAATGAATGACTCAGCTCCCCCCCACCCTCTTTTTGGAGGAAGGAGCCCTTGAAAACCTAATGCATAGCTGTGCAACACTGTTAGATACTGAAGGCCTAAGGAACGGAAGCAGAACTTTGTTGGAGATAGTGCCGGGCCAGTTGGAGGGTATTTAAAGTGTGACTGAGGAGGAGCGCTTTCTCAGAGTGGAGTTGACTCTGGTGATGGGAGTCGGGTAAAGCCTGTGGAAGAGTGGAGCCTTCGGGACTTTCATTTGCTGATGGAGCATGATTCAAGGTAAGGAGAAACAGCAGCACACATCTGTTAATAATCAGAACTTGGAATGTGCAAAGAACGAATCTAAGGAAACTAGAAGTGGTCAAAAATGAAACGGAAGGCATAAAGATTGATATCCTAGGCATTAGTGAGCAGAAGTGGACAGGTATTGACCACTATGAAGCAGAAAAATAATATGATTTATTATAGCAGGAATAACACAATCAAGAGAAAAGGCAAGGCATTCATTGTCAAAAAGGACATTGTAAAATCAATCATAAAGTACAATGCTGTCTGTGATAGGATTATATCTATCCACCTTCAAGGAAATCCAATCAATATAACTATTATTCAAATACCGTATACACACGTGTATAAGCCGAGTGTGTCAGCACATTTTTAGGTGGTAAAATTCGGTGCCTCAGCTGATATTCCGGTCGGCTTATACTCGAGTATATATGGTATACAAAAGCTCGTGATAAAGAAGTTGAAGAATTCTACCAACTTCAGTTGAAAATTGATCAAGAATGCAATCAAGATACATTGATAGAAATTACTAGTGGTAGAAATGCAAAAGTTGGAAACAAGGAGGAAGGAAAATATCGTCTTGGTGGTAAAAAAACAAAGCTGGAGATTGAATGCAGAGTTTTGCAAAACCAACAACTTGTTCATAGAAAATACTTTTTTCAACAACACATGGATTTCTCCGGATGGAATACACAGAACTCAAATTGACTACATCTGTGGGAAGAGAAGATGTAGAAATTCATTATCAACATCTAAAACCCAGACAGGGGCTAAATGTGGAACAGACCATCAATTACTCACATGTAAGTTCAGGATAAAGCTGAAGAAAATTAAAACAAATTCATGAGAGCCAAAACATGACTGTAAGCCTATCCCACATACATTTTGAGTTCGTTTCAAGAACAAATTTGACACATTGAACACTAGTGACACAAGACCTGATCAGCTATGGGAGGACATCAAGAAAATAATTCATGAAGAGAGCAAAAGGTCATTAAAAAGACAAAAAAGGAAGATCAAAATGTATATAATGAACATCTTCTCAAGTGTTTCTTGGCCACTTAAATATCTCCTTTGCATAAATGCCTATTCAAGATTTTTGTCCACTTAAAGAAAGAGAAACATCAAAAGAAGAGTTGCATTGGCCATGATCCGATCGCTGAAGACAAATGGGTGCATAAGGAAATGTGGTGAAGAAAGCTGATGGTGCCCGGCTAGCTTTCAAAAGGTATAGCATCTGGGGTCTTAAAGACTTGAAGGTAAACAAGAGGCCTACTAACTCAGAAGCAACAAAGCCCACATGGAAGAAGCACACCAGCCTGTGTGATCACGAGGTGTCGAAGGGATCAGGTATACGGCATCATCAGAACAAAAAATCTTACCACAGTGAATGAGTGGGGGAGTGCAGAGTGGATACCCAAAGCCCATTTGTAGGCCACTGGAGATTCCCTTGCAGAGGCGTATCGGGAGGAGATGAGCCAGTCAGGGTGCGATGTAGCAACGATGAAAAATACAATTTTTATCTAGTTCCTAAATGCTTCCTCCCCCTCCCTCCCACTACCATGACTCAAATTTGACCTTGCAAGTCTGGCTAGACCAGAGGATGTACACTGGTACAGATAGGAACTGAAAATCCAGGGAATCCAGGGCGGATGAGCCCTACGGGACCAGTGGAGTGAGTGGCGAGACAGGGAGGGTAGAGGGAGAGTGGGTAGGAAAGAGGGAACCGATTGCAGGGAACTATATGTGACCTCCTCCCTGGGGGACGGACAACAGAAAAGTGGGTGAAGGAAGACGTCGGACAGGGCAAGATATGACAAAATAACAATTTATAAAATATCAAGGGCTCATGAGGGAGGGGGGAGCGGGGAGGGAGGGGAAAAATGAGGACCTAATTGGGGGTGGGGTTTAAGTGGAGAGAAAATGTTTTGAGAATGATTAGGGCAATGAATGTACAAATGTGCTTTACACAGTGATGTGTGTATGGATTGTGATAAGAGTTGTATGAGCCCCTAATAAAATGATTAAAAAAAAAATCATGTACCTGCAAATCTGGGGTGACCATAGATTAAGTTTGCCTGTTCCCCATCTTCAACTTTTGGGTACTTCATCTTCAACTTACAAGTAAAAAATGTACCTGTAAAAAGTCACATTAAAAAACATAGCCAATTTAACTTTACTGTCACAGTATTTTTGTTCTAGAGTATAAATGAAAGGAGGATTAAATGAGAAGTTACCTGACCATGACTTTCCTTCTATTTGCGGCGACTTGGGTTCACAAGATTGTTGTTTCTGAACTTTCTTTGCAATTTCTAGGAGGTCCAAAAGAAAATGCCCATAAATTGGATATATTAGGACTACAATTCTGTTATACATGTATTCTAAGGCTAATGAGTGAAATGCCTTGCATATAGAACATTAAAAACTTCTCTTCAGGTACTTTCTCGTACATGTAAAATGTTGAACCACAGTGAAAACATTTAACTTTAATTGTGGAGAGGTGCTGTATGGAACAACCTGTTTGTTTCCCATTTGGTCACACAAAATGAAGACTAAAATTTATAGCTTCTCTCTCAGGTAGGTATAATTATATGTCTTCATTCTGACCAAGAATATGTGAAGGAAAGTGATGTGCAGTTACCTCCCCCTTCTTTCTCTGAGCTTTCTACTCAGGATGTGGACTTGATGGTGGGCCATCTTGAACTATAGGGTTGGAGGAGCCACTGGCCAGAAGAAACTTTAGGCCCTTCAGATTTTTATGGGTCTGAACTGTCATACACGTTTTTGTTTTTATATGAAAAAGGAAAACCCCTGTGTTGCTCAGACATCATTCATTTGAATTGCCGCTAATGTAGCATTTGATTAAATAGTAATGTCATTAAATTTTTTTACCAGCAAGTCCTATTATGTAAGGAGAACCAGAAATTATAACAAACAAACAAAACGAACTTACTGCCATTGAGTCAATGCCAAGTCATAGCAACTCTATCAGACAGGATAGAACTGCCCCTGTAGGTTTCTGAGACTGTAACTCTTTACAGAGTAGAAACCCCTGTGGTTTCAAACTGCTGACCTGGCAGTAAACAGCCCAACCTCTATATGACCAGGGTTCCTCCCCGCAGTTTTAAATAGAGACTTTCTTTGAGATGATAGGATTTTAGAATTACATAAACAAACAAACTCAAACTTATTGCTGTTGAGTTGATACCAACTCGGTGACTCTCTAGGACAGAGTAGAACTGCCTCGTGGGGTTTTCAATGTTACCACGTCTTTCTCCTGAGTGGCTGGTGAGTTCCAATAGCCAATTCGGTAAGCAGCCGTGTTTACCACTGTGCCACAGAATGCCATTAGAATTTTAAAATAATGACACCTATCTGAGGTCTTAGGAGTCATTGTGATTGGCTGTGTGAAAGATTAGAATTTTCAACAGAGAGGGAACACGTATTTGAACTGCAGTGTTCTTTCTATCTTAAAGATGACTTTAATAATGTGTATGGAACTGAAAAAGGGAAGACCCGTTTCATAGTTGAAATACAAGAAATCTCTGAAGATGGTTTCTAATACCATCTACCACAGCTAGAACAAAATGGCTTCTGCTGCTTTTCAGGGAATTAAATATTTCATCTCTAGCATTACCAGATTTCTTCCTCACAAATGAGCTTGTGGTGAAAAAGGAAAATCTTCGTAAACTGACAGTGGAACCATCTGGAACATATTTCATTGATTTTCCAAGCTATAGACTTGTGTTATAGACTCATGTTGAGTGGCAAAACATATCAGTCTGCATGACCTGTTAGGCCAGGAGAAATTCTAACTTGGGTGGACATTAAAAAAAAATCACTCCACGAAACAGGGATCTGACATGGTCAGAGAACTGCATTCCTACCTGAAAGCCCATCTTTTCTACTTGATGTTGGAATTTCTTGCAGTTCAGAACTTATAGGCAGGTCCTCTTTATATGTTTGCCTCTGGAACAACTCTTCCTGTGGAGGGATTGCCATGGACTTGGATGTAACCTCTCTCATTTTTGTACTTGAAGTCGAGTGTAAGTTCTGATGTTCTGGGACTGGCTCTATGGATAATCCTTGTTCTATTATTGACCCTCGTTGTACCACTGACTCTCTGCGTGGTTCTTGTTCTGCGGTTGACCCTCTGTGTGATCCTGGTATCACGGACCCCTCAGGTGGCTCTTTTTCTGCAATTGACTCTCTGCTGCGTGGGTCTGCTGCCACTGACTCGCTGAGTAATTCTTCTTCTGTCATCGACTTTTGATATGGTCTCTGTGCTGTTCTTGATTGTCTGTGAAATTCTTGTTTTACAATTGGTTCTTTCGGGATTTCTTGTTCTGCAGTTAATTCTACTCCGGTTTCATGTTCGAAAGTCGACAGGCTCTGTGGTTCTTGTTCTGTAATCAGCTCTCTTTGTTGACTTTGTTCTGTAATCGACTCTCCACTGGCTCTTTCTTCAGGAGTTGTCCCTGTATGAGGGTCCTGTTCTATTACTGGTGGTCCCTGCAGTGGTTCTGCAGTTGTCTTTTGCTCTACGGGTGACTTTGGTGGTGGTGGTGATTTTGTCTGTTCATCACGGATTTGTTGATCTTCTAACAATTTGCTTTGCACTTTGCTAGTATGCTTTTCAGACACTAATGTATTCATCTTTAAGATCATATCGTCAAAGTCTTCATAAATGTGATTCTGGTTATCCATGTCTCCCCAGAACTCAGGCAAGCCCATTTCTTCAAATTCAATAAGTGGCCCTACAGCAGAAAATAAAATGTTTACCTAAACAATTGATCTTATAATACAGAGTGAGAGTAATCAAATAATGTAAAAGAGCATTGGAGCAGAGTGCACAAACTATAAGCATATTGCTTTAAGTCAATATGAATTCCTGCCCTTACAAACAATGAAAACAAAAATAAGACATCGAGGCAACACACAAGAATAATACTCGCTACTCTAATTTAAAAACCATCATTTCCTAAAAGTGTAGCTTTTGAAATGAACATGATTATTCTTTGACTACTTGGAAATTTGCTTAGACTGCCTAGGCAAAAAGAAATAACTTTCTATCTCTGGTCTTCCCACAATACACGCGGCAGAGGGATGGGGAAGGGGTAACATATTTTCCATCTCAAATAGCTTTTCAATGACTTCAAAATCAAAGCAAACCTCTATCCCAGATAGTATTGCCCAGAGGCTATATTTATCCAGTAGCCATTTTCTCCCCTCTCTTCCCCTCCTCACTTTCTCCTTCACACTTCATTTTTTCCCTCCAAACTACGTGCACACCTGGTTCAGAATTCTATGGAAACATGGTATAGCATTTCCCAGAATCCAATCCAACAAACAAACTCTGGTGGGACTCATTCCACAAGCCTGCTTTTAGCTTCTCCAAATGAATAGTAACGAAGCTACGCCTGGGAGTCCTACCGCCTCTAGGAAGTCCCACCGTCTCTAGGAACGCTGCAAGTATATTACCCAAGGATCCTCAAATAACCAATCAAGACATTCTCACATAGAACTAAAATATTTAGTTCTTTAGAAAATCCAGTTAAAAGATGAAAACAATCATATTTGAGTAGTAATAGAAAAAATTCTTTCCTGTGCAAGCATAAAACTATGTATAAGTAAAATTGCATGGGAGAAGAAAATATATATCTTAGAATCGTTAGGACGCTAAGTTGAGGTCCTTAAAATAGCAATTATCATTACCAACTTAATTTCCAAAACATTCAGATTAACAGAGCAGCGGTTCTCAGTCTGGGGGTCGAACGACCCATTCACACGGGTCGCCTAAGGCCATATTTCCCATGGTCTTAGGAACCGAGACACCGCTCCTCCAGATACGCCCATATACGGGGTCACCACAACACGAGGAGCTGTACTAAAGGGTTGCAGCATTAGGAAGGTTCAGAACCACTGCATTAAAGCATCGTCGTTTTGATCTAGCTGTGTTTTCACCTGACAGTTTTTAGTATTGTACTATGGCGAAAAACACTGGTTGTCATTAACCGTGAGTTTGTGGGGAGTTTACGACTACACATAACTACGTAACATAATCCAAGGTAGACACTATGGAGAAAAGATTCCATGGGAAAAGAACGACCTTGTTTTATCACATCAATATCACTCCAATTTAAGCGAGCTCTTTTTGAGCGGCACTCACATTGCCTTGGGTTTCGGAGTAATGTCCTAATCGTTTTTGGACTTTGGTCATAGAATATTTCCAGTAATGCCAATGTCCTCTGCCGATTCAAAAACCCCACCTAAGCAGAAAGTTTGTCATTACTTGTTAGAAGGTTTAGAACTTTTATGTAATGAAATATGGCTTAACATGTTAGCTTACCACAATCACCGCCACTATCACCACCATCAAAATCATCTAACCAATACCTGCAAAGTCAAAACCAGGAAAGTCTTATCTTGCTTTAGGTTTATACTCTAATTCCCCTTCTTTATTATGTCAAAACATCTTACAAAATTTTTGTCTTGTTACTGACTTATTAATTGCTAAATCCAAAGTAGAATCTTCTGTTCTGAAATAGCCTAACTTGAGTGTACTACTTGAAACCATTAACTGCTCCTTATTCATTAATTTTGTTTCTTTGCATATTTTTGCTTTCAGGAAAACTTTTGTCACAGAAATATAGAAAGTGATAAAACTAACACGCGTGTACCTGTTACCCAGAAATGATCATTGCTAATATTTTGTGTATGTATTTTAAAGTACATAACTGATAGCATGTGTCCTTTATTCAAATTGCTTTTTTACTTACTCATCGTTGAGATCTAAGCCATAAATGAAAATAAATGTTTCATTTCTTTTAATAGCTGAATGGATATCCTATAATAGGAAAACACCGTAATTTATAAAGGTTTCTCTAATGATGGGAATTTCAATGATTTCCTGTATATTACCAAAATTTATTATTATGCCAGAATAATACTACAATGTATGTCCTTATACACACATTTCTTCTAGGTTACGGTTTCTACAAATTGAGCACAAACTTGCTATTCTCCTGGAGTAGCGATCAGGACAGACTGTGCATTAATACCCCAGGGGCATGCATTAATACCCCAGGGGCATGCATTAATACCCCAGGGGCATTCTGAGATGCGGCTGCAGTTTTGGATGTGAAGGCAATGAAGGCTGTGTGCCTTGAAGAAAACAGGCATTCTCTTATATGCTAATTGTCCCAGGGAAAGGAAAGAAAATTAATCCTCTAAAATAAGAATATGATTGCTTCATTGGCAAGGAAGGTTTAGGGAGATTTGTGGCTCAAACCTCAGCTCCGTCTGAGTACATGTAAATTCCAAGTTTCAGGTCTCTTCAATATCCATATCAGAAACCTGGCAACTCTGTTAGCTTAATTTAGATTATAGCGGTCACACTAAATTTTAGCTGACTTTTTAAATTGACATCTGCCTGAAGCTATAAGACATAAAGTTTCCTATTCAGCCATCATGGAAACTTTCTAGTTTTCTGACAGCAATAGGAGTTGTTACTTTTAAAATTCTGGGCTTGTCTTTTACTTTCTCTATAACCTCTGCAATGCAGTGAGATGAAGTTCATCCACTTAGAGGCCATATGCTCAGCATTATTATAATTATGGTCCAATGCGACAACCTCTGGCTCTCTTTAAAGTCTTTTCTCCAATACGCACTTAATTTCAAGCAATTATCAGTGACAGTTTGTTTTTTCATCAAAGAAAACAAAGATTCAATAGCGTGCAGATTCTAAGTGCTTAGCTTGATGAATGTTTAGCTAGCTAGACCCCATGGAAACACTACTAACGTATCACGATAAAAGGCATTTTAACTACCTTCAAAAGGCTCCTTCATTGTACTTCCCACTCCATCACTTCCCCAAAGCTAACTACTACTCTTCCGTCACATTAACTAGTTTTGTCTGTTTTTTAACTTTATATAAATGGAATCGTGCACTATATACTCTTTTGTGTGTTTTCTTTTGCTCCACATTCCGTCTATAAATATTATTCTTGTTTCACTTACTGTAATTCATTTGTACATTGATACATAGCTATAGATTCTACTGAATATATAAAAAATTATCCACTCTATTGCTGATGGACATTTGTGCTGCTTTTAGTTTTCAACTATTACAACTAGTCACATTTTGTTGTCATACTTTCAGCCATATCTAAGAATCCACTGCCAAACACAAGGTTGTAAAAAAATTACCTATGTTTTTTTCTTCTAAGTGTTTATTATTTTAGTTCTTCTGTTTAGGTCATTGGTCCGCTTTGAGTCAATTGTTGTATGTCGTGTAAGGCAAAGATCCAACTTTAATTCTGCATGTGGCTAACCAGTGCCCTAGCCATTTATCAAGGAAAGCATTCTTTCCCCCTTTGATGGTCCTGACATTCTTGTTGGAAATCAACTGGCCATAGATGTTGTCTTATTCTAGCCTCTCAGTTCTATTCCATTGATCTATACATGTATTTTTAATTGAATATCACCTATATTGATACCGTAGCTGTGTAGTTTTAGAATTTGAAGTGCAAGTCCTCAAAAATTTCAAGCTTGTTTTCATTATTCTGGGACTTCTTGCGATTGCATATGAATTTGAGGATCACCTCTTCCATTTCAAGGATCCCTGGTGGTGTAGTGGGTTATATGTTGGGCAGATAATTGCAAGGTTGGCAGTTCAAACTCATCTGTAACTAGAGATCATTTTAGTTCTTACTTTCCAATTATGATTCATGTATAATTACTCTGACTAGAGCTTCCAGTAGAATTTTGAATAGCAGTGGCAAAAATGGGCATCCTTACTTTGTTCCCCATCTTAGGTATAAGGCTTTCAATCGTTCACCAGAGAATATGTTAGCTTTGGGTTTGGATTTTTTTTTTTTAATGGATGCCATTTATCATATTGAGGAAGCTCCCTTTTATTTCCAGTTTTCTAAGGGTTTTTATCATGAAAGGGTATGGAATTTTTTCAAACGCTTCTATCTCCCACATCAATTGAGAAGACTGTGTTTTTCACCCTTTGGTCTCTTGATGTGACCTATCACATTGGTCAATTTTCTTCCACTGAACTACCTTTGCATTCCTAGGATAAATCCCATTTGATGATGATGTGTAAATATTTGTTTAGTTAGTATTTTGTTGAGGATTTTTGTGTCTACATCCATAAGAAGATACTGGTCAATATTTTTTTAAATGTTATCTTTTCCTAGTTTGGATAGCAGGTTAATGTTGGCCTCATAGAATAATTTCAAAAGTATTCCCTGCTTTTCTATTTTTTGAAAGAGTTTGAGAAGCATTGGTGTTAAATGTTCTTTAAAGGTTTGCTACAATTCAGCAGTACAGCCATCTGGTCCTGGATTTTTCTTTGTTCAGCGGCTTTTGATTACTGATATTTCCCTCTGACAACAAAAGAAGAACAGCTGTACCATAGATGGCTGTTCATGAGCTTGTAAGACCTCAATCATTACTCACCAAAGTCGGGTAGAGAACATTGTCTTTATGGACTATGTTATGCCAGTTGACCTTGATGTCTACCAAGATATCTTGATCCCCCTGGTCCAAGGACTCATTCTTTCAGGGTGTTTGGTTATGTCTAAAATGTTTTCATAAATTTGCACCCTGCATACTCTAGCTGCATATGCTCTATCTATCTATCTATCTATCTATCTATCTATCTATCTATCTATCAATCATCTATCTAATTATTTATCTATCATCTATATTCTTTATGACCCCTGGTCATGTAGTAGGCTATGTACTTAGCTGATAACCACCAGCTAAGTG